AAGTGATCTTGCATCAGTGCCAACCTTACGCTCATACACTATGCTAGAGACTAACAATGCTGCAGTGTGTAAGATCCCTGTGGAAGCACAAACACAGCTTCCTTCAAGAGGCTGGAGATTAGAGGGCTTTCTTCCAGGTACTGACTAGGCATGAGATCTAGTGAGACTGGAGATCGCAGTAATATTGGGGCAGGGAGGGCTGGGGCAACCAGTCGTGTTGTTACAGAAAGAGCAAGAGGTTGAGGGTTCCTCTTTCAGTAACTACTGCTTGTCTCCTCAACAGATCACCAAAAAGCTGGATCTCCGGGGCAACAATATAAAAGTCATCCCTGGGGGAACATTCCTCCCTATCCCATACCTCACTCACTTAAACATGCAGCAATGCCAGGTTGAGAGAATTGAGGAGGGCGCTTTCAGGGGACTAGGGCGGCTGGCCTACCTCAACCTAGCTTCCAACAACATAGCCTTTATCTACCAGGAGTCCCTGGATGGCCTGTCCTCTCTCCAGAAGCTTATTCTGGAAAAGAATCGCCTTGAAGAAATACAGCCAGGGGCTTTCAGCCAACTGGGCTTCCTCAATTTCCTCAACCTTGGTGAGAACTTCCTCGTCTACCTGCCCGATATGGTCTTCCAGGGCCTGCAGGCAATCAAGTGGCTCCGCTTGTCCCATAATGCACTGCATGTCATAGCCAACGAGGCCTTTGCGGGGTTGCCTACCCTGAGGAGGCTGAGCCTGGACCACAACGAGCTACAGTCCCTGCCCACTGAGGCCTTGTCAAGGCTGTCGGGTACATCACGGCTGGATCTGGGACACAACCCCATCACCTACGTCAGCGAGGAGGCCATTGCAATGGCTGCCCTGAGGGAGCTGTTCTTGGACAACATGGCCCTACAGGATGTCTCATACAAAGCCTTTGTGAAGAGCCCCCAGTTACACACACTTGACCTCCACAACAACCAGCTGCAGGTGCTGCAGCCTCTGACCGACATGGCCCATTTGAAGAAAATCAACTTAACGGGGAACCCTGTGGTTTGCTCTTGCTACATGCGCCCCTTCAAGGAGTGGATGGAGAAAGCGAGAGTCCAGGCTGATGCTGTCTGTGCAGACCCCAGCACCTTCAGGGGAGAGCACCTGGAGTCACTGAGGCCTGTCAATATGAAATGTGGAGGCCATGCCCCAGAAGCAGAGCAGCTCCCCACCTCTACTCCTCCCACAAGGGAGCCAGAGGAAATTGCCAAGAAGAAATGCCCAGAAGCCTGTTCCTGCTCGCCTGATTTCCAGCACAGCAACTGTGACAACAAGGGCCTCCAGAAGATCCCTAAGGGCTTCCCTGGCAACACCCAGCTCCTGGACCTACGCCGAAATGAGTTCCACTCCATACTCAAGGCCTCCTTCCCTGGCTTGAAGAACCTGGTCTCGCTCCACCTGCAAAGCTGCAAGATTGCGGAGCTGCAGCCTGGTGCCCTTCAGGGCTTAAAGAAGTTGGTCTACCTCTACCTGTCCAACAATGACATCTCAGCCATTGAGGCTGCTGCTTTTGAAGGGGCTCCCCAGCTCACCTATCTGTACCTGGACCACAACAGGTTCACTCGGATGCCCAGGGGGACCTTCAGCCGCTTGCCCAACCTCATTTCCCTGCACTTGCAGCACAACTCCATCAGCCAGCTGTCAGACAGTGACCTGGCTGGAGCAAAGCAGCTGCGCTGGCTCTACCTCACTGGGAACAGCATCTCTCAGGTGTCCCCCACAGCCTTGGGCCCTGCCAAGATGCTGGAGAAGCTGCATCTGGATGAGAACCTGTTAGAGGATGTGCCCACAAGATCCCTCCGGGGTTTGTCTGTCCTTAGGGAGCTGAAGTTGTCCAAGAATCCCATCAAGTATATTGGGGATGGAGCCTTCCTCCCAGTGGCAAGGTCCCTGCAGCACCTGTTCCTGGATAATATGGGTCTAGAACAGGTGTGAAAGAGTGAGCGTGAGCTGAACGGTTCCCCAGGTTGATAAAGCTGAATCCTAATGTAGAGGTCACTATTGATGTCCCTCCCGTCCCCTTGATAGAGCTGTTCTCTGCAGCACATGCTAGCATTTTCTCCAGAAGGGGTTTCCACCCAAGTGAATGGCTCCAATAATCCAAATTCTAGCACTACCCCGAGGAGAAACCATCCCACAGCCTAGGAGACCTCATTGGGAGGAAACGGATCCCACTCATTAGCCTAAATTTCAGCTTCATCCCATTGCTTCTGTTAACAAGATCTCAGATGACTCCCCTCAGCAGCTCTCATCCCTCCTTACACCTTTCATGGATATCCCATCCTCTGCTAGTCATTGTCTACTTCATTTCTTTAATTTTCTCTTGTTAAAAGCCTCGGTCCAAAGCCAACCAAAGCCAAATGAAAGGCACCAACCTGGGTGGGGTAGCAGACATTTGGTAACTAAACCCATCTCTAAACCCATCTCTTGAGGGCCCTAATAGCTGACGTTTGTATTCCCTCTGATTTGTCAATATTTTTTTCTTAACATCAGGACTTATTCTAATGGATTTCCCTCTGCTTTTAAGCTGATTTTCTCTTTCCCCTCAAAACACTGCAGATTGCCACAGTATTTCTGTTGGCCATCCTGACTCAGTAAGGCTACTCAAAAAGCCTAACTTGCCTCTTCCCCAGTATTGCTCAGACCTGGGAAATAATAGATCCAAGTTTGGGTCTGAGGAGATCGCTGTGCTAATACACAATCCTGGAGTGAGGCTGGTCACTTTTACTCTCAGAACAAGACCTGGTGCTGGAGCACAGAGCTTCTCTCAGCAGCAGAGAGGAAAGGGATAGCTTCCCCCGGAGGATGCTCCCTGGAGGTTAGCCAAACAGTGGGACAAAGTGGTTTAGACAGAGATGATCTGCCTTGTGGAGGGATTGGACTAGATGTCCATTTTGAGCTCTGTTTTACTATGACTCCATGATTCCTTCCCTTCCAAGGAGGTTTATCTGGTCTTCTTTTTTCTTTGCATGAATCCCATGTTCAGCTACTTGCAGCTAAGTCTACCCTCCTACCCCCCCGAATCCTCTGCATTGTCTTTCAAAGCCCATCAGCAGAAGTGTCATATGGTCATTGAGGGGCTCCTGAAACCCGGGGAAGGATCTGGGTTGGAGGAATTGGGCCAGTCTTCCTAATCAGACAAGCCGAGATGGGAAATTATAGTAGGTTCCCGCCCCCCACAACCCAGAGACTGACGTTCTCTGCCGCAGAAATTAATATAAAATGAGGAATCCAACCCAAACAATCCTTCAGATGGAAACCATGCATGCAGCCTGGGTCCAGGAAATCACTTACACACACAAGTAGTGCCCTTGAAAGTGGGAGAGAGAACCCTCCTTCTTTCATAGCTTTAAAAAAATCTTTGCTTTTTTATGCAGAGATGTAATGAGCTGCTGCACTTCCCACATTTCAAATGATATCGCCACACTGAATTTCCTGCTGGGTAGTACTGAGACAAGGGCAGCTCTTCACTGATACTGTCATTAGTCCCACTCATGGTTGTGGAAATCTGGAAACAGCAGGGGGGTGTTTAAACGACCCAAAATAAGAACACATATGCTGATATTTCATTCTGTAACTCAGTGGTTCTCAACTTCTGCAGACTCAAGGCACCCACTCATCAGACTTGGGGCACCCTCCATAAACAGTTGTGACTTGAGTGGCACCTCATTAAAAAAACAAATTTATTTATTACGGTGCTTACCTCCTTGCAGAGGGGGCAGACAGTGGGAGCTGGGAATGGTTAGGCAGGGAGAGCCAGAGCCTGCTTTTATCTGCTTATCTCCTCATACTTTCTGTGGCACCTTTCAAAGGATCTCACAGCCCTAGCACCTTGGCTGAGAATCACTGCCCTAACCTGTCCAAATTATCCACTGCTCTTTCCTATTAGCTCATCAGCCCCCACCTCTTCATTTGCAGATTTCCTCTGGTGCCTTTGCCAGCCTTGGTTCCAAGATGAAGAGTCTTTACCTGGAGAACAACAAGATGTCCACTGTGCCTGATTTGCGCAGCTTCACGGGGCTGGAGGTCATCAACCTGAGAGACATACCTTTCTCCTGTGACTGCCAGCTCTTCCCGCTGCACAGGTGAGTGGAAGCATGTCGGCAAAACAACCAGACAGATCAGAAAACACTATTTTTCATCTGACTGCCTAGCTTTTCCCCATTCCCAATGGCTCAGTGCTTCTAAGGGAAGTGTCAACAACACACCAAAAAAAATGGCTGCAGGACTGGCACAACATGAGAATGATACATCTAGTACCATGTCCAGAAGCCTTTGACTCCCCAGCCAGCATGTCCAGGGACCCATTCACAGCTGGGCTGACTGGGGGTGGATTTGGCATGAGTCCAGACTGAGACTCAAGACTCTGAAGCCATCCATACGGAGATCATAGAACCATAGAAAATTAGAGTTGGAAGAGATGTCAGGAGGTCATCTAATCTCACCTCCAGCTCAAAGCAGGACCGGCCACAGCCCCAGCTCTCTCATCCCAACCAAGGCTTTGTCTAGCCAGGTCTTAAAAACCTCCAAGGATGCAGATTCCAGTGCTTTACTACCCTCCTAGTGAGAAAGATCTTCCTGTTTTCTACCCTAAACTTCCCTTGCTGCAACTTGAGACCACTGCTCCTTTTTCTGTCATCTGCCACCACTGGGAACAGTCCAGCTCCATCCTCTTCCGAGCTCCACTTCAGGTACCTGAAGGCTGCTATTAAATCCCTGCTCAATCTTCTCTTCTCCACACTAAATAAGCCCAGTTCCCTCAGCCTGTCCTCAAAAGTCATGTGCCCCAGCCCATTTTCATTGCCCTCTCCTGGACTCTCTCCTATTTGTCCATATCCTTTCTGTAGTGGGGGGCCCAAAACTGAACACAGTACTCCAGATGTGGCCTCACCAGTGCCAAGTAGAGAGGAAGAATTGCTTCCCTCGATCTGGTGGCAATGCTCTGCTCTTACAAATGCAGCCCAGTATGAGATGCCTTACCCATGCTGCCACCGTGCCCCTAAATGCACAGTGCACCTGCATTAAGTTGTAAAGCTGTCATCTACTGCTTCCTACTGTCTCTCCCAGAGGTGTCAAACACCCTGTGCCCTAGGCGGGATCTGGACCATGAGGCTCCTCACAGGCCAGCTCCATAGGGCAGGCAGCAGCTGCAGGCCAAACCAGAGGTGTTGGCAGACCACGCAGCCATAGAGCAAGTGGGGCTCTGTCAGCACAGCCCTTGCTTGCCTGCCTGGTGTCAACACCCAAGTCGAAGGGGATCCTGGATTCTGTGGCAGGCCCTGCCCTCTGCTAGCCACACCATCAAATACCCTTGCCCAGCAGTAGCCTGGAGGGCCCTATGGAATGGCTTTACAGGCTGAATCCAGTCCATGGGCCATACGTTTGACATCCCTGCCCTACACTAAAGAGCTGACTTTTGAGGATGCTGTAATGTACCCAGTGATGTGAGCTGTCCTCATCCAAGGGATAGGTGGCGGGGGTCCCCAGGGTTGTGGATGCAGCACGCACTGAGGATTTTGTTTTCCCTGTTCCCTTTCCCACCTCTGCTCCCCCCAATCCCATTCCCAGGTGGATTAGCAAACTCAATTTGCGTGTGGGAGCCACCTGCGGGTCCCCGGCTGAAGTCCATGGGCAGAAGGTGAAGTTTTCTGCCGCCTTCAAGACCTGCCCAGGCTGGGGAACACAGAAAACCAAACGGGCCCGTCCAAAGAAGTTCAAAGTCAAAGGAGGAAGAAATCCCAGCAAGAAGAGGAGAGCTGGAAAGGCACAAGACAGAGGCCTCAAAAGGAGCAAAGCCTAAAGAAGAAGCATCGGGCAGAGCAACTTCCATTGGCAGGAGGTGACTGAGGAGTCAGCTACTAGAAAGCAGCTTAGTGAGAGAGACGCTTCAATGGGCTTTTATCTGTGGTGCAATGATATGTGCATTGCAAAGGGGAAGCGAGATCCCCTTCCCTGCCCTGGGGCCTGGGTGTTTGGTGGGGTGGGGAGGAAAAGTCTAAACAAAAAACAAAAAAAAAGAATTGCATGGAAGGAGGGAAAAAAGCAGAAGTGAGGGCTCCCTCTGTCGGAGGCCCTGAGCAGTAACAGACCTGCAGTGCTTTTCCTGAGTGCAGCAGCTAAAATATAACTTTATATAAAATATAAATCATAGAATCATAGAAAATGAGGGTTGAAGAGATGTCAGCAGGTCATCTAGTCCAACCCCTTGCTCAAAGCAGGACCAGCCCCAACTATCTCATCCCAACCAAGGCTTTGTCTACCTGGGTCTTTAAAACCTTCAACGATGGAGATTCCACCGCCTCTCTGGGTAGCCTGGTCTAGTGCTTTGCTACCCTCCTGGTGAGAGCTTTTCCTAATATCTAACCTAAACTTCCCTTGCTGCAACTTGAGCCCTCTGTCATCTGCCACCACTGGGAACAGTCTAGCTCCATCCTCTTTGGACCCCCCTTCAGGTAGTTGAAGGCTGTTATTAAATCCCCCCTCAGTCTTCTCTTCTTCAGATTAAATAAGCCCAGTTCCCTCAGCCTTGCCTCTTATGTCCTGTTCCCCAGCCCTCTAACCATTTTTGTTGCCCTTCACTGAATCACTGCATTTTGTTCTCTAAGCTCTCTCAGTTTCAGTTGGACAACACTGCTCTTCTCTTGCTTCCAGTGCTGGGGAGAGCAGCGCGATGCATTGTTCTGTTTTATACCAGGGGTGGCTGATTTCAGTAATGGGGGAACCATCTGATCTCCATAGCCAGAGGTCCTGGTGCTTGGGGATCTCATGCCATTTTGCTGTGGAATCCAACTGCAGAATCTGACCCTTTAAAAAATGCCAAGAAGGCTAGAAACATACTAAGCAGTTAACACTGAAACCTATACGTTACCAGGAGGGTACTGACTTCCTGAGTCTGCAGAAAGTCTCAAACAATAGCTTGGCGGGGCTATTGTTACACCCCCATCTCAGTGGCATGCTACATCCCAAATCTCAAGGTCTATCCGGATATTAGATGAACAATTTCACTGTCAATAACTTTAGAAGACAAACCCAGGGTATGTGCTTATCTCATCATCCCCCAACTGATGACCCAAACTTCCAACTTCTACCCTGTAGTTATGCATCACTCATCCCAACACCTGCAGCAAACTGAACATCTGGAGCAGTATAAGCTATATTGGGCTTAATAGTAAAATGAACCACAGAAAGAGAGTGTTGCACTAAATGCAGGATGGGTTTTGTTTTTTGTTGTTGTTGTTTTTGCATTGAATTCAATGAAGCCCTTTAGTATTTGTTGTTTTAAACCAGGGTCTGAAGAATCCCCAGAACCCAGGTGGCAATGTGGCACTATTCAGGATCAGTTTTTAGCATGCTGCATGGTGCCTTGCCTGTACAGACAGATGCTAAAGCATGCCCTCAAAAGAGGAAAGGTTCTTTATACAATCTATGTTCTGTTGCAGAAGATCCATTTATACATATTGCTGAATATAAGTCCGGCTGTAGTTTGATTTATCCAGATCCTTCTATTTGGAAACACATTTAGAGAGAGAAAGAGAAAGACACTTTAAGGACTAGTGCTGTCTCTCTTGTTTCCTGTTAGCATGTCTGTTACCCATAATGCTCTGCAATGCTTAGGTTAGCATTGCATTCCATGAACTGATTCAGTACCTAGAGCTAGATCTTTACCTGATTTATACTTGAGGATAGGCTGGTGATCCAGGCCGACCTTTGATAGGCTTGCAAGGTGGGCAGAGGAAAACCTGATGGCATTCAATACGGAGAAATGCAAGGTGCTCTACCTTGGGGAAAAAAACCCCGCATCACACTTACAGGCTCGGCAGTGCTACACTCACTAGCACCATGACCGAAAGAGACTTGGGGGTTGTGATTGACCACAAGATGAACATGAGCCACCAATGCAATAGCACAGGTGGCAAAGAGGACAAAACTGGCTTGCATCTACTGATGCATCTTGTGCAAGACCCAGGATGTCATCCTCTTGCTGTACTCAGCCTTGGTGATGCCGGTTGGAGTACTGCATTCAATTCTGGACTCCACAATTTAGGAAGGACATGGAGAAGCTTGAAAGAGTCCAGAGGAGAGCCACGTGCATGATCAGAGGGTAAGAGAACAGGTCTTATGAAGAGAGGCTGCGAGCTATGGGACTCTTCAGCCTGGAAAAGCATAGGCCCAGGGGTGACCTGGTGGCAGCCTATAAGTACGTAAGGGGTGTGATCAGGATCTGGGGGAATGCTTGTTCACCAGAGCACCCCAAGGGATGACACCGCCTCCCCCAGGCAGTGAAAGCACCTACTCTGGACACTTTTAAGAAACATTTGGATGCTTAACTTGCTGGGATCATTTGACCCCAGCTGACTTCATGCCCCTTGGGCAGGGGGCTGGGCCCAATGATCATACGAGGTCCCTTCCAGCCCTAATGTCTATGAAATCTATGAAATCTATGCCGGCATAGTGTAGGTCCACCAATGTCAGGACAACTGACTTAGATTAGCTGTCAGCCAGGGGTGTCAAAGAGCCAGACTGTAGGCCAGATCCAGACCATTGGGCCTTGTCATCTAGCCCATCGTGTTGCTTGTAGGTCTTGGACGATCCCCACATGGTGTATGTGATGCATGCTGGATGGGCCCCACATGCTGCATGCAGTGCGTAGGACTAGGGTGGAAGCACAGGGCACAACACACTGGGTCTGGCAAGGTGTACACTGCATACAGTGCATGGGGCTTGGAGGGGGCACATGCTGTATAAAGAGCTCAAGGCCAGTGCCAGACCAGCCCTGTGCGCTGGATCATCTGTGGGCCTGATCTGGCCCATGAACCAGCCCCACTCCATTCATTTGGCCCTCGGGGCCTTATGAGTTTGACACATCTGTTCGAGGCTGTTCTCAGAGAGGTCTACTGGGGCCTACACTTCCTTAGTTGTCTATTTGCCCTTCTCAATGCTAGAACCCCAGGATCTCTCCGGCAGGCAGGGAAGAAGCAGAGGTGTCTGCATAAGTGAACAGAGGCTGGTGGGGGAGGAGGTTCCATCCGCTGGTTTGCTTAGGGCAGCACAATGCCTGCAGCCAGCACTACACACATTGATTGAAGTGTAGAAAATTGACAGGAAAAGGCTATCTGGGCCTCTGAAGAGCCTGCTCCCTGCAGTAACCCAGGCTGTGCATGCTTCCTCTATTACCACGCCTGGGCAGCGAGGCCTGGTGTTATATTCCCAGAACATCCATCACAGCCTTTTTGCTAGCGCAGTCTCTCTCTTATTCCCTGCTAAGACACTGCACAGACTACTGTCTAGGAGAAAAATCAAACCTAGAAGACGTAAGAATTTCAGACCTCTGCAGCCCCAACAAATCATCATCTATCCATTGCGATTAACCATTACCGTAAGACAGGTGGGTGTCTGAACACAGCGTTGCTAATAAAGCATATGCGCTGTGACTAACACCCTCCAACTGTGTCATAGGGAGAAACAAGTGTTGAGATGGAAGATGTGTTAGCTGCATCCAAAAGCCCTGTCTGGACTAGGGCTCACATGTGACCCGCATATCTGATCTATACTAAGCTATATATAAATCGGGAGGTGAGGTCCTGCCATTCCAACCACTACTTCCTACATCTGATGCTGACCAGCCAGTGCCTGGGGGCACACAGTGCACCAAACACTAACAAACCAATATATTCCAAAGACAGAGTCTCAAAGCCACGTCAGGACATTGAGCAGACCTGAAAAGCCCCTTGAACCAATATCCTCTGCCATCCCGAGTCTTGCATCAGATACTTGAATTGCCTGAGAGGCAGCAGCATTCTGAACTGAAGCACCCACACCTTCGTGGGAGTGAACCTGAAACCATTTTTGAAAATACCACCTGTTCCTCACTGACGCTGTGTTCCCCCATTTATGCCTCACTTTGGAAACTGAATTGGCTAATTTCACTTTCCTTCAAGAATCGCCTCCTGCACTAGCTCGGCCACTTTTGGATCCAGGCTTCCCTATCCTTCGGCGAAATGAAGAATGCTCTTGTAAAGAAAAGAAGTCTATATTCAAATTGGGAAGAATTGTCAGGGAAACCTCTTTAGTATCAGGCATGCTTGGGGTTGTGGGAGATAAAATCTGTTGACTTCAGGACAACACTGTCCAAAAGAAAGAGCCATAGGCCCTGGGGAAAAAAAATGATTCTATAGAAGAAGATACCCATAAAACCCCTATTATCACATGTGGGCATTAGCTTTGGGAGGGAGAGTGGCTGTCTAGTGTTACAGCCTTGAACCAAGAGGGGCCAGGCACTGCAGATGAGGCAAAGATCACAGGCCCTTCCCATGCTCATTCCACCCTAAGCTGGGGCATGCCGCATCCATCTTTCAGGACTTGAGTTGTGATAGGGCTGATTTTAGAGGCAGCAGTTTTGCTAGGAAGGTTGAAGAAGGACCAGCCCTCCTATGCCCCATTCTAGGAGCTGCAACTCACTCTCCTCAGATCTACCAGACAAGTCAAGATGGGTGCAAGTGAGGGCTATGTGATGGCTCTAGACTCAGCCACACACTCCTTATTTGCTCCACACACAGACTATCTCCCCTGGCTCTCTCTCTGCCTTTTCTGGACTAGAGCTGGCATACTGCCCGTCCCCGCCCCCCCCCGCAAGACCAAGAGGCAAGCCTTGCACCTTCCACTCAGTCTTTATTTACAGACCATTCCAGTACATTTCACTGGTAAACTTTACATGAGGATTGTTAAAAAAATAGCAGTGATACACTAGGATTGTGCGCCTTAGAGGAGGGGAGAAAAGAGGCAAAAATAAATCGTCTGCTCTCTTTTTCTGGACCTGGGAACTGTGTAACTCTTGTCATGGCAGGAAGCAGATTCATATCTGAGTGGCATCAGAAGGGATTTTTCCTATGCAACTTGGTTTCCATCTCTTTAATTCTCCCCTTGTCCCTTCCCCTTCCCTTCCCCTTGTGCTCTCTGACATCCTCTCGGGTTCTGTGCCCACATTACAAAGAGGGACATACAAATGAACACATGGGGCACGCTCACAGAGTGACAGCAGCTATCTTTCTGACTGACTTGTTCTCCCTGAAGCTGCACAGTGGTTGAAGTTCTGCAGTCCCAGCACCTCTTGGATTCTGGGTCACAAGCTCCATAGAGACAAGACTGAAAGACTAAGACAGTCCCCAGTGCAGCAGAGGCCCCTCTCCCTCCCTAAATGGGCTCGAAACAAATAATGGTGGGAAGCTAAGAGGAGTTCCCTGGCTCAGAAATTTACCCTCCGATCCACAGATGTGCAGCAGCAGCAGCAATAGCAGCCATGTCCCTTTCCAAGTCCGGCACCTTTTTCCTGGAATCCATTACCAGGGTTTAAAAAAGACAAAGGTGAAGATGGAGCTGGCCTGTGTCAACGATTCTTCTTCTGCAAGGCCAGGAATGCACCCACTGTCTCTTCTTGTCTCCTGCTCAGCTCTGTGGGGGAGCTTCCTTAGGGAGTTACAGTGTAGAGGGCAGGCTGCTGCTCAGGGCAAGGAGACCCCACCTGAAGGATCTCGGGTTAATCCATAACCTCTTCCTTGATGCTGCTTATCGGAACGGGAAGCTCTGAGGAGTCGAACTCCATCACTGAGGGCTCGATTATTTCTTCTTTCACCTGCACAGCAATAACTAGGAAAGAGAGAAAAGAAACCAATCAACCCACCAAGGCCCCGGCAGCAGGGAGCACCAGCAGCCCCACAGGTCCCCACTTTGGTCAGACAAACACCTGGGACATAAGCACGTGGGACTAATCGACAAGGCCCACACTGGGGGGCATGAAGTGGCTTCTCTCACTGGCAGCTTCAGCAGCCATCAAGGAAGGGCTGAAACCGACAGCAACCTCCTGTCTGAGTCCTAGATGCAGAAGTTTTGCTGTCCCTGCACATTCTGTGCCTGTTGTGAACACGGGCGGTCCAAGGGGAATTGACGCCCTAGGAGAACTGAGTACCTCAGTGCCCCCACCACTTCCAATACAGAGGAAAGGTAGGAGTTGCAATTCTAGTGCTTTTTCCTCTGAGATCTCTTCAGAGGTCTTTCTCTCCTTACCAAACCAAAGCTCTTAGACCAAGGTGGAGCCGTAGCTGGTCAGGGCTGTTATTTAGAATAATGTTTTCTGTTATTTTGTTCTGCATATAATTTTGGCGCCCCCCCAAATTGGCCATGGCTGTGAACTCAGTAGAGGACCACACACACACACACACACACACACACACACACACACACACTTGCTTCACTCTCTGAGAGCTGCAGGTGTTGATGAGGGTCCCTCTGCTATTGCTGCCACAGGAGCAATGCAAAGCCCCAAAACCTTCTCCAGGGAAGAGGAGGTTTTGTCTGTCCTGCACTCCCCTGAAGCCCACAACTCCTTCGGGGAGGAGAGGAGGCAGGAACGTTGTGAGAAGACAGGTCATGGGGGTCCTAGCAGTTCCCAGAATGCATGCAATAGGCTGCAGGGCAAAGCTGCCCCCTCTCCTTACTCTCATCGGGCGCTGGCTCCAGGGAGGTCTTGTTTGCAGCTTTTGTTTCGCGCTTTGCCTTTGGGCCGACAGGTTTCTTGGCTGTCTGCTTGAGCGAGCGGGTTTTGGCAGCCATCTTTTTTCCTTAACGAGGAGAAACAGGCTGTTGGGAAAGACCTGCCATCTTACTGGAGCTGCTAACTGTCCTCTTTCACCGACAAACGCAGGACAAAGACAAGCATGCTCAGCCAGCAAGCTGTTTTTCAATGAGCTAGGAGGGGGATGGCATTCACCCCCAATCGGACAGTCCTGAGACACTGGTAGCAGTCAGGCAGCTGATGTATCTTTCTTTGGGCTAGCCAAAGCCCCCGGGAGGCACCCAGTCCAAAAGAGGGGGGGTGGGCAGTGCACTGTTCCCATCATCCTAAATGCAGAGCACTTCATTTTGTTGCACATGAAGGCTCGGATTCAGCAAAGCACTTAAGCACATGCTTTGCTTATATGAACAGGCTTGCTGAAGCCACTTCAGTGCTTTGTTTAATGGCCTGGGCCTCACTCCTCACACATGGGCAAGATTGCTCCTGTACATGGTGGCATCTGTATAATTTTTCTGTTTTTAGTTATGACATCATGGCCTGCAAATTCTTGGGGACGAGGCCTGTCAGGCACTACATGTTAGGACAGCACATAGCACAATGAAGCCTGAGTTGCGGCTCATAGGCACTAACAAACATGGGAGATGGTGACATGGTCTCATCTCACTGCTCCCCAATGGTCACCCGCAACATGCCCTTTCTTCCCAGTACCAACAAGGAAAGAAACATAACCCTGACTGACTTCCAGTTACCTGGACTGGGCCAGGCATGGAGTCTCCCCATCATGCTGATGGACAAAAGGGAAGCTGCATGTTGTCAAAGAACGTGTCAGCCCCACAGGAAAGCTGGGGAATGTTCTCAGGGGCTGAAAGTTTCTGTCTGGACTGCAGCTAATCAGCACACATGGGGAACCAGAGTATGGGCTGGCCCTCCCTATGTGGTGCCTGGAGCTCTCTGCAGCCAGGGGAGCATCGGGGAATGCACACTGGAATGATGGCAGCTGCACTGCCACACAGCATGGGCTAACTGCATCCACAGCAACAAGCCTCTCACTCCAGCCTACTGTGAAGTGCACACAATGGGGAAAGGGTCCTCCCACAGAGGAAAAGGAAGGGGTGCTGTGAAGAAGGGGCTAATCTAAGTCACTTACTCTTCTTCCCATAGGGTTTTTTTCTCTTCTTCGGCACCTCCTTGTTTTTCACAGGCGTTGTGGGCTCTGTCATTGAGACAAGAGAGGAATGAGGGCTGGGTTCCAGAACCAGCAGGTAACAGGGACAGGCCGATGCAAGTGAAACAAGAGATATATCCACCAGCCTGCCACAAAAGCCAAGAGGACGGAGCACTGCTCCTGCTGCGTATCATGGGGAGAACCTGGGGGAAGAGCCCCTAAGCTCGGCAGGATGGGGGCACAGAGGGAGAAGGGTACTGGAACCTCAGGGATGAGGCCTGCAGTTCCAAGATGGCAGAAAGGGATCTAAGGGGTAGGAGCAGTGGCTACTGCTAGTCCAGAGAGGAGCAGCACCTTTGTATGAGGCTTGTTCTAATCCTCTGAGGAAATCAGGAAGCTAGTGGGAAAAGGAAGGGATAGAGCCGCACCTGCTGGGAGGTGGGAGCCACACTAAGGCTGCACCTGAAGGGAGGACAGAGACAGCACAGTGAGAGGGGCACCTGGAAGCGCCTTCAGCAGAAAAATTCTCCATTGGTTGCTGGAGAAATGAGGGGGAGCTTACAATCCATCTCCCACCTGTGGGCTTCTCCTCTCCATCACCCAGCCCCCTAGCCCCGGATTCTACATCAGGCCAGCTAAGCCAGGCTATATGTTAGGGGAGAGGGAAACATGAAGGCCAGGACACAGTAAGGAGATGTTTTCTCCTCCCTCAAGTCACAGGAAAGCAGGAACATACAAAACCGGGGGTCAAAAACAATTGCCACCAAACACAGCATCTCTGTGGTTATAGTGAAAAACCAGTGCTCACTCACCTGGAGCCACAGGAGGCTGGAGCTGGTAGCCTGTCAGCTCACACCAGCCCACGGGATAGATATCTGGTGACTCGCAGTCCACCCACTGGTCATACTCATTGTCCCAGCCATCAAAGTGGATGCTGAGGAGGCGATGGACCACACGCTTGACTGTAGCCACGCAGATGAGTCGTGGCTCCATTAAGTCCACTGCTTCTAGCTTCATGCCTGCTTTGAAGCCATGGTTTGGACAGTCCTGGGCAGAGGGAAAAACCCACTATGATAGCTTTCAACCCAATCTCAAACTTTAATATGACCCTGCTGCTCCAGTTATGGTACCTGCCTCCAGCTCAGACAGTGGAGACAGGACAGTCCTGCTTGGTCTCTCCCAGTGAAGGCCATAACAGAGTTACAAAGTGTGCCTTCACCTACCCAAATATGAACAGGCCCAAATTCCCAGCACAACAAAGCAAACCCAGCTATTTCCCCAGGTAATGTCAATCTGCTTTTATTGAGGTCATACACTAAACCAGAGGGTACAGCTCATAACATTGAAGGGTTGTCCAACTAAAATTCTAAGCCAGGACAGTGATGGGGGCTGAGTGAGGCTGACAGGCAGGTAGGTTCACCCTTCTGAGACACCACTGGGCTGTTCTGCCAGCATGGAGCAGAGACCATATCCCCACCCCTGTGTTTCAGTACTGGGCGAGAGATCCCTGCAGGCAGAACCTGGGAGTACTAAGGAAACACAAGCACGTGTCATCCATAGATCCTCCTGGCTGCTCTCCAAAGCTTTTGGCAGTTAACAGCCTAGCTCTGAGACACCTAAGCTGCATCTGCTCCTTCCTGTGGGCTGATGTGAAGCTTGTGCCTCTGCATGGCAACTCTCCCAGGTGGTACTCACCGTGTTGAAGAGCCGTGCTGGCACTGCTCTGGACCTGGTCTTTTCCAGATAACTTTGCCAGTTGAAGGTCTTTGCATCGTACCCTGCAGCACGAGGAAGAAGGGCTGAGCAGTGGACAGAACAGCTGGGAGATACATAGTAAGCAGCAACAGTGACTCAACATGGCTTAGGGGCCCTTCCCCTTGCACTTTCAAGGCACAGCTCAAAGGAAGGTGAGAGGAACCATGCAGTTTGACTGAGTGTTGCAGTCTAGCCTCAACCCGCTGCTACTGAGCAGAGGTTGGGAAGAGCATACTGCCATGCCATACTCTGAGAAACAAGCACACATGTCCAAGAAAGCCTATGTTGAAGCTAATCAGTCAGGCCATTCATCCCCAAGAGGGAATGAGCAAGCTGAGGCCTCCTGATTTTGAACCATCCAGGCCATGTCCCCTTACAAAACATACAGTCAAGAAGTCAGAAGCCTTGCCATGCTCAGGTTTGCACACGGAGGACAAGGGGCTCAGTCTCACCTTTTGGTGGGGTCAGGTCAACATTGTTCTTCTGGCAGAAGTTGGCAGGGAAGATGGCATGTGAGGAAGCGTGGTAACAGAACCAGTCCGAGCCATCCGCGGAGGTGGCCCCATCAATGCTGATCATGAGATACCCGTCCAAGAGGACCTGTCGCAGCACAGGGAGTGCAGAGCATGAGAGGGGCAGTTCAGCTTGCTCAAAAGCCTTTGGCCTTGAAAGATCCCCATGAACCCTGCTGCTGGTTTAGGCTGGAACGATGCCCTGGCAGTGAGAGAGCTGCCTCTGGGGTGTAACACAGCCTGTCTTACTCTTCAAAGCAACACCTAGTTGCAGCATTTGCACTCTCCAGGAGCTGGCATGGCTTCTTGAGGGAGCAGATTCATGTTGCCTCTTATCCAGAGCAAAGCATCTGGGAGAAAGGGCTGCCCTTGCACAAGGCATGTGCTGCATTGGCAGAGACTTGTCTGGGAAAGACAACCTGCAAGCTGCTGCAAGCAGTGGCACAGCCCAGCAGATGCCTATCTGCATCTGTATTTTGCCCCACTGCAGAGTGAGTGCACAAACCCAATTTCCAACACTGCTGCCTAATCCTCTGAGGGTCCCCACAAAGACTGGGTTATCCTGGCCCTTCCCTCCCAGCAAGGGACAGAGAAGAGGCTCCACTGTCCATAGCTTCAATTAAGTACAGCTAAGCAAGACAGAAGGCTTCACCCCACCCCTTGGCCCAGGTTACCTTGCACACAGTAGCCACACAGATGTTGCCCAGGTTCAAGGGATCAATGGCCTCCAATTTCATGCCCTCCTCAAACCAGCCACCTTCAGCATAGACAGCTCGCACCTAGAGCAGACCACAGGTACAAAGAAATACCCTGTTGGTTACCACCAGGGCCCAAGGACAAGGGGAGGAGTTTCAAAGTCCTCTGAGAAGCACAGTAATCCTTTGGCTGGCTAGGGTCCATATCGGGAGGGGAAAGGAAAGGCTGTCCTAGATAAGAAACAAGACATGAAGGGAGGGAGTTGGGGTGACTGAAGAAGAGGGGCAATCACAGTCAGTGGAAGGCAGAGTCCAAAACAAGCAAGGGTGGGGGGGGGAGGGGGCAAATGATCCTTGCCTCAGAGCCAGAAGCCTCTCAGAGCCAGCACCTCACCTTAGCCAGGCTCCTTCAGTCCAACTCAACCTCATGCAAGTCACCACCTCACCATGACTGAGTCCCACGCTGTAACCGTTCCCCTCAAAGCAAGGTCCCTGGACCTAAGGGCAAGAATACCTCCCACCCTGGCCCCTGCACTAACACGACTCCAAACCCATAGGACTGACTCCATCTTTGAATTGCCCCCAAATCCACTTCATCCCCTTGCACCCCAGTCAAGCAAAGCTTTAGGCTCCTAGATCCACTGTTGCCACAGGGCAGAGAAAGCTCCGCATCCGTGTGTGATGGAGTCCAACAAGTGGGGCTGACACACGGGAAGGAAAGCACCACAGGTTGGCAAGCTTTCCTGTACCCCACCCCACTTTGCCATGGCAGTCTCAGGTGTATGGGCAGGGCTCTCCTACCTTCTTGAAGAGATAGGGGACGGCATCGCAGTATATCTTCCGGAAGGTGGGGTGGTTTGCCATGTCACTGCGCTTTTCTTCTGTCCAGGGACAAACAGGAAAGGTTAGAAAAAATGAACCCTCTACACTGATGGAGGTATTCAGGGGTGGGGAGGGGGTGGTTTGCCTAAGTGGCTGCCAGTCATCTGCTCAGAGCTCAGCAGCTACTAGAAAGAGGAGGGCACCAGCCAGTGAGAGGGGACTGGAGGCCAACAAGAGCAGCCAGAGGAACAAAAAATGAGGACGCTTTTTTAAGGTGTAAAAAAAAAAAAAGGCATACCAGTTTCTAAGAGCAAGGGGACTCTCTCATAACACAGGGAGGAATTTTGGGAAATTCTAGTTTCCCAGGAGAGACTGAGGGAAAAAGCAGACCCTGGGCCTCGGTCTCTTTGTCACCTGATCTCTGGAATTTCTCAGAGCCCTAAGCTTGCCAAGAAGTCTCCTCCTCAAAGGGACATGCTCCAAGATGAGGTGATCTAAAAGGCACTTGCTCTTGAAGGGGCTAGCATCCTCTGTCACAGAGAGGCTGCATAATTGCAGGGCCATTAATAATTAGACAGAGTAAAATAAAGATGGAGCACCTCTATGCTGCAGAGGAGAAACTGACTGTGTCTGGGGGCTTGAGTCAGAAACAGCATTTTTGCTACAGATGCACAGCAGAATGTAGCTGGCCAGGTGTACCATAGTTGGGCGTTTGGCCTTTCAACCCTGAAGGGAGAAATTACCTGGCCAGACAGAGCCAGTGGCCAGATACAGCAGGAAGCAGGACATCCCGGGACATGTCCAACTTGCAGAATAAGGGTGGCCCTGTCAGGATTAGCGTCATACATGGACAATCACCATCAGCGTCAACCCTAACCCAATGCCACTGCCTCTTTGGAAGGTCCCAGCCTGGGGAGCCAATGTGTCACGTGGGTCCCTACCTGTCTTCTTGATGTTGTGGCCCACTCTTCGTGCCCAACCCACTGGGTGGATCAGGGGGCTCCACATGTGGCACCAGAAGTCATCATCACTATCGCCATCCTCATAGAGGAGCCTCAGCCGGCCACCAATGACTGTGTCCACAACCGCCATGCGGGCCCGAGACACATGGTCCTTGTCCACCACTTCCACCCGCATGCCCTGCCGGAATGGGTACTTCATGTTCTCCGCCATCTAGGGAAGGCAACAAACAAAATGGAGCATTTCTAGCACCTTCCCAGGACGTGACTCTCTCTGCAGGTACCCTGACCACTCAGCAGCTCCTCGCTGCAGCCACCTCTGGGGAGAGAGACAGCAGCCATAGGCAGAAAGTGCTGCTGCACAGACTGCACAGACACCTTTGGGTTAAGAAGCGAATAATTCTGCTCTATAGAAACCCCAAGGGCCATTTCAATTTGGCAGGGAGGCGTATAGCTCATTGGCCTTGAAGGTGGCCACAAGGTCTTCAATAGTCATAAGTGGGCAGAGACTTTCTGCTGACTTGAGAGGGCAGCAGGATAAACCCCTTAGTGTCATATCTCACTGGTAAAACTGAAGCTCCAGGAACAGGGACCTCCCCCCACATTATAGTGGTGCATGTACTTAACACAGACTAAGGGACCAAGACAGAGCAACCAGAACCACCCAGGACTTTTCTCTGGGGCTCTCAACTTCAATCAGACTCAGCCCTGCCTACCCATGAGGCTTTTATAAAGCCTCAACACCTTCGTGTCTGGCAGCCAAGGATCTCAAGAGCGCAATGAGCTCTTGTGCCACAGGTCTGAAGTAACAGTATCTTAGTACATGCATGCACGTACCCCACCGCCACACCCAGGTGTACCTGGAAAAGAAGGTTTTCCCCCAGGCATGATTACATCTCTGCTTCTCTCTACTGCCTCTCTATTGAGCAAGTCTCCAGTTTGTTTCACCACATCCCAGCAGATCTGACATTATCCCATGAATAAGCCACTTAAAACCCAACCTCCAAAGCTGTCACAGGGGCCTAGCAAACTTTGCTAGACTTGCCAGAGTAATGCCCCCAATTATAATGCCTCCCATGTATGATTGAATCCCATAACGCCCTATTCCTATCAAACACTTCATGGCATTATCCTCCTCCCTCAGAAATTCAGTATATACCCAAAGAAGCAGCTTTCCAAAATCTGCTGGCAGGGGGAGCCTGCCCTCCTCTTCTCCTGGAATATCACGCTAGCTGAAGCAACCTAAGGAACTGCTAAGATCTAGCGGACCTCTTGGCACAGATATTACTGGCTCCGTGCGCTTCAGGTGAGCCCCTGAAGCTAAGTGTGTTAGCCTGTCTTGCTGCTCTGCTTCCCCAGCCTACTGCTGCGCTTTCTCATACTGAAGACAAATGTTTCCACTCAAACGGCTCATTTCTTTGGAATAAAACAACCTAGGTGAATGTTTTCTTAAGACAACAGGCTTTGCGAATTCATGCCCTAATGAAAAACAAGACCTTCCACCAGTATACTGGGCTTACACCGCTTGGTAACAATTTCTTCGTAAACCAGCCTAGGCCTAAAAAGATGAAAAGGTCACACAGTGTAGGACTGTGGCGACCAGGCCATTTATGCAGGACACTGCCAAAGGAGCACTCTGTCCTATCTTCTGCCTGGCAGCACTCAGCGTGTTCAAAAGAAACCCTCCTCCACTCCACAAGACACAACACGCTCAATGAACCCCAGGGGAGGTGAATCCAACCAGAAGCAAGCTGACACGCTGTTCCCACACTGTTTTGTCTGCATCCACCCATGAACCGAGGTAGAAGAATCTACACACCCATCCCATTACCTTGATATGGAAATCCACGGGGATGGTCCTTGCTCCCACCAGCCTCTTCATGAGGTACCCTCTCCAATCCGTGTACTTGGCGTGGATAGCTGAGCAGGCACAGAGAGGAGCACACAGTATTGAAACAGCTCATGTCACCTCACTGCTGCACCGCCAACAGACAATGCATGTTACTTTTCCTCTTCGTGGACTGTCTCACTAAACCAGTGGTTCTCAATCTTTTTAGACTCAAGGTATTCCTTGTTAGGCTCAAGCCCATCCTTGGAAAATGCCAACTCTTCTCTTTCATTTGTTTCTTGATTACAGAAATAAAATACAGCAGTTTTTCCCTGGCAAAGAACTCAGGCTGCCTGTACATGCCACAAGGGTTTAATTCGGTTTAGTTCTCGCTAAGCTGAAATGGTGGGTTTTTAAAAACACCACTTCAATTTAGTGAGAATTAAATCAAACTAAACCCCCGTGGCGTGTACACGGCGGGCTGAATGGTCCCTGAGCTGTGTGGGGGCCCCCCAGGCAGCACTTGCCCGCTGGCACCCAGCCCGGGTGATCCCAGGGGGTGCCGCAGCCACGGAGGGAAGCACCGGGCCCCGCCGCAGCTCAGGTAGGCTCCAGGGAGATAAAAAATAAAAAAATAAAAAAATCAGGCTTGCTGCTTTTTTTTCTTCAGTGGAAACTGCCTGCACAGGCTCCTGCTGGGTCCCACAGCACCTGAGCTGCGCGGGGCCTGCCAAGCCCTGAGCATGTCAGCTTCCAGTGCCCTGTGCACTGTTGCACTTTGTTAGGTAGCAAACTAAAACATCTCAGAGGTCTTTTATCTTGCTATATAACAAAGTAATTTAAAACAGAATATGCCACCAAGCGTGCAAACAGCAATGCCATTAAACCAGAATATGCTGCTGAACATGTAAACAGCAACACCACTAAAGTGTTGCAAAAGGGCATTTAAGCCACTCTAAAAGCCAATTTTGTGGCATGTACAAAGGCCCATCACGTCCACAGCAACTCAGAATGGTTTTGACAGTATGGATTCCTATTTGAAATTTCTGAGTTTATCTTGCTAATCATGTGTAGGTGTCTAACAGGGCTAATATTGAGTGGGACCCTGCAGCACCATTAAAAGGATCCCACAGTAACCTAGGGTGACAGTTACTGGTCTAAACTCAAGGTATCCTTCCAATTCAGATATATCAGCTGCCACTACTTTCCCATACATACACACATATGTGAGTGCCATATGTCACCTGAACGTCAGGTTTGTGATGAGTTGGGGAGAATGTTAGGGGTTAGAAAGAAAAAGAGGACTTAACGCTTTAGATCACCAGACCCCCAAGTGGCTCGTTAATCCTATGGAGACACTAAGACCTACCAGTTACCCTGTAAAACCATCATTAAAAGAGGCAGCTGCTCTATGGTAACTGGTCCTGTGTCAGCAGTAGCTCACAGTAAATAAAAGCTAGGTCAATGGTAAGCCCATTGTGGCCTTCAGCAAGCAGCAAGAGTGGATACAGGGACAGTTAACATGGAGCAGTTAACATGGACAGCTAACAGTCTTCAGGTTTTCAGCTACTGCTCCTTTGAGGCCACACCATTGTGCATGTCTGTAATGGCGGTGGGGACTAAGAAAAGATCAGGGGCTGCTGCCCCAGATAGCAGAGCCCTGCCAAGATCAAGAGCCAGTGAACAGGCCTGCTGGATTCTCCTAGCAATCCTGCCTGGGGACATGACAACCAAAGGACACTGGCTGAAAATGAAACAATTTGGATACAGGATCTCAAAGCCAAAGGCATGCAGAAGCTGGAAGACCAGCTCAGAGGAGCCGGCAGCCTGCTCTAACATACACTCAAGAGATCCCCAGGTGAGGGCCACATCCCACACTACAGAGGAAGGCAAAAACCCCTACAGTCCAAACCAATATGACCATGGGATCAAATTCCTTCCTGACCCCCAAACATGGTGACCCTGAGCAGGGGGCAAGACCCTTTAGCCAGGAACCTCTGGGTTTGAGTCTCAGCAGGAGCACTGGCACACCCCAGTTCCAATCCCCAGCCGTGGCTGCAGCCAGCACCCAATGCTTCTGAGGAAGGCTTAAAAACACTCTGACGTAGCAGAAAGGGGGAGAAGAGGTAAGTAGCAAAGCCCAGAAGCATGGGAAATCCCCATAGTAGAATACAGGCATAGCTACGCCTAGATCATCCCCAAACAATGGCTGTCCAAACTCTTCCTGAACACCTGTCAGAGGAGGCGTGTGCATATCCAAACACAGAAACAGCATATCCAAGCCAGAAAATGCCAGGCCAATGCTGTTTCACCAGCACTCCCAAGTTATCCCTCTGGTTGAGCAGGGACGGACAAAGCTTCTCCATCACTCTCCTGGGTAAGCCCTGGGGACCAGTGTGAACAGCATGGTGTCCTCACTGCTCTCCAGGGACCAAGAGAAATAGCAGCAACCAAAGACAGCCATGGCCCTGCAGTCCCAACCACAGCAAATTGAGCTTATGACACCAAACTAGGAGAGAACCAGACTCCCCTGTTCTCCCAAGTGCTGGGTCCAACAGGCACTCACTCTGAGGGGGTACCAAGATTTTGCTGTTGATAGCACACCAGCCGATGGGGTGGATGTCCACTGTGCCCAAGTTGCACCAGAAGTCATAGCCAGAGTCGGTCTCAAAGCCTTCGTAGCGCAGCAGTGCCCTGTACCCTGCCAGGAGAGAGGGAGGGAGGCTTGAAGCATCAGTCTGTATCTCTATTTTGGAGCATGCTGAATGCTTTTCCTCAGCTACCACAATCCTATGCCCCAAGTCATTCTTGTAGCAGACTGTCAACTAGCCAGGCTAGGTATAACAGACCCCTTTCAACTTTCCTCACCAGTCAGTTTCCTCTGGCCCTTTCCGGCTGCTAGTGAACCTCTTGGAGACTTACCTGCAGTCTGGATGACAGAAGCAATCCAGTATACCCGGCTGGGGAGCACAGCATCACTGTTCAGCACTTCCACCTTCATCCCTTTCACCACATCGTCCCATTGATCAAACAGCGGCACCTGCAGAGCCGGGGCAAAAGCAAAGGGAGAGACAAGAGCAGCAGTTACAAACCAGGGCTGCAAGAACTGTACAAACAGGATGTCTTTTATGCTCATAGCACTGTGCTCTAGATTTTACCCTTTTCTCTACAATGCAGGTTTCTTTCTAGCCTTCATGGCTGGAGGCAGAAACCTTGAAAACTTCGGGGTGTGCAGTGCTACCTGCCTGAGCCTGTAGACAGCCTGACATATTAGCTCTTAAAAGGCTCAATGCATGCGGTGTTCACAGCAGAGCCCACACACATAAGTTTAAGGATGAATTCTGTTAACTATTTTGCTGCTTCCACGAGATGTGGAAGTCATGGCAGGATGACTGGATAACCAATAATTAATCCAATAAACCCATAGTGACCCTCATACCTCCCAGATACCAAAGCCTCAGTCAGCCAACCCCCCCAACTATTCACTATTGTGATACACATGTTCATCATCAACTCTACATTGTAGCTGAAATGGGAAGATAGAGCACAAGTGATTTAATATTAAAACCACTACCACAGGGCAGGTAGCTGCAGCTATCTGTATTATATATACAGGTGGTCCTCGGACTTAACGACAGGATTGGTTTCTGAAAACCCTGTCTTAAGTTGAAACATTGTAACTCAGAACCAATTTTCTCATAAGAAACAATGTTATAAATGGGGGATTGGCTCCTGAACAAAGGCCTGATACCCTATTTTCACTAAAAATACCCCAGAACTTTGTACTCGATCAATTATAGATGAGTAATATAGCTACATTAATGTATTTATATTGTAAATAGTAATCATATTGTTTTGGAAGGACTTCTTTGAGGTGACTTTGCTGGACTTTTTGAAAGGCTCTTGGTTGGACTTTTTGAAGGGTTCTTGGCTGGAGTCTTCTCAGGAGTTTAGACAGATGTTCTCCAGGGAGATGAGTGACGCAGTGAACTTGTTTGCTGGTGTGGCGTTGCATCAGATCAAGCGTTGTAAAGTCAAAACTGACATCAAAGTTGAAACAGGGTGTCAATTTATAAATGTAAGTGTGAAACGTAATTCGAAACACTGTAAGTCAAGGACTGTCTGTACATAAAAATTGCCATTTTTCAACTGACCTAAGGTACCTGAATGGCCTCCATTACAGTGGTATGTGGGCACCTCTTAGTGCATTTACCTTCCCTACATCCCTGTGAGGCTGGAAAGTAGCAGTATACCCATTTTACACACAGGAAAGTGAGGCACTGAGAGGTTAAGTAACTTGCCTAAACTTAAACAGGGAATTTGTGACAGAGCTTGAACTCAGTTGAAGGCTGGTATGCTAACCAGTGGGCTATCCTTTCCTGTCTGATGTGGAGCAGGCACACAACCTCCAGTCCGTACCACTCAAGGAGCTGCAGAATTCAGGATGTTCCCAAAGAACTGAGGCCCGGCTTTCTGCAGGGTACAGGGACACTGATCAGAATGACCAACAGCTGTGTTGAGTCAGGTTCCTCCCACCTTCTCCCCTAAACCTGTGTGTGTGCGTCCACTATAGAAACAGATCACTGGCAACAGAACCGGTGAGACAGCACTACTGGAAATGGCAAAAATGCACTGTAGACATATGGCTTTTTTATTTCGTCTAGAAGAGCATGTAGGAGCCCCCATCACGTTGAGGGCTTTCCTGTTCCTGCTACGGTGAATAATGTAAGAATCTGCAAGAAAATCTAAGATGAGGAACAAGTAAAAAGGAGGGGGGAAAGAAGGGAGCCCTAGCACAGGCTGCAGTGTAAGCTGTCCCACATCTGCCCTAGCATGGTGCTTCACCGATTGCAAATCCAATGCTATCTGGGCAGAGTTCCTCGAAATCCAATTTTGAAAGGCCTTTGGGGAGCCAACAGACCTGTGGAAGAAGAACTCAGCCTCCCCTCACACCAATAAAACCCCAGAAGCTCCCATGTGTGTTGCTATTTTTGTTCAAAAGGGAAGTCAGCACAAATGCTGGGCTCCAGCTCTACAGCAGTGTGAGAGAAGCTGCCAGGACGTGCCTGGCAAGGGTATGTTCGGCCACCACCCAGCCTTCTTGCCTGAGAGCAAGATTATTTCCTCTGGTGCTCGTGCCCTCCAATGACACTGGCACTTGGGGAGGATGCTCTCTAGGTGGAGCAAAGCTTATAGCATCCCGACCTGGCAAGGCTGACAGAGTCAAACTGTTCTCAAGATTTAGGATAAACAGCTGTGGTTTCATAATGAGAAAAGGGACTTTTCTACACTGAAGTAGCTCCACCCTTGTGGTACCAGTTGAAGAGGGCAAGGACACTTGACACTGTGAAAAAGAAAGGCAACTGCAAATTGGAAGCTGGCTACAACAGCCAGACACCAGCATGAGGGGGGTAAGAAAGACCACGAGTAGGTGCTGCCATCCCAACTGCATATCTGGCCTTAGAGTACTGCAGGGGGATATGCCAATGAGTCAAAGCACACTGACAGACTCAGAGATCAGGGTTTGCAAACCGGGCAGGGGCTAGCAGTAGAACTCACGTGCCCAAGCCTTTGGCACCAGGCCCTGACATCCATTATCAAGGAGGAGACTATTATGGCTTGCACCACCATGGGGAAGAGCACTGCAGCACATTCCTGGAAACATACAGAAAAAGAGCTGCCAAAGCAGAATGAGCAAATGTTCTGGCCTTTAAGAACAGACATGCAGCCTATTCCCATCCCCTCGGGATTGACACTAACAGCACCTCCATCTTCATTTAGTAAGCACCCACTTCACTGGAGCTAAAAGAGCTTCCCACTGGCACTAACCCAGAGGGGGCATGTCAGCTACGCATCAGCCAGAAGGTGGCAGGATGAGCTCAGGGAGGACTGAAGAAGACTAAGGGCCCTGCCCCACATTCAAATAAAAGCTGGATAGAAACCATCTTGAGAGCTGTTACACATTTTCAAGCACTAACTTTGTAGCTGGTAGGCTCTTTTTATAGCTGGATGGCCATTTTTATGGCATGATCATTATTTTGCTTGTGTGCCTGGTCTAAATTTATTGCTCAATTAACTAGTTAATTGCATAATATATGTAATGTGTGGCAGGAGTCTATGGGTATGGACACACATACATACGAAGCCCTTCTCAACAGGGAAGGTTTCAGAAGGGCGGCAGCGAGGCCATTTGAACCGTTGTGTGTAAAAGCTGAGGATGATTCCCATGTAGCAAACCTGCACTGGTGTTTAGCACTGCTTGATCCAGGGTTAAAGCCCCAGTGGTTTTGCTACTGAGAATCATTCTGTAGCTCCTTCAAACATTAGAAACAGAAGGTAATGGCTGCCACCCTTCTGAACAGGCTTCAGATGTACGTGTCCATCCCTGCTGGAGACAGCTGCTGACCTACCACAACCGAGCAGGGAAAGCATTGCTAATGATACATTTACTGCAGTAATGTCCAACTGGCAGGGCATGGAGCACATGTGGCCTATGAGGGACAAAGCTACTGCCCTCAGGCTGCAGCTTGGCTGCGGCTCCCCCTATTATTTCAGCTGCAACATCAGTAGTGGCAGAGGGGGCTGTATGGACACATGGTGCAATAGTGGCAGGGATGCCCACATGGGCACATACAGCAGTAGCAGCAGAGCTGCCCACAGAGCCTCATGGTGCAGCAGTGGGGGTGTCCACACAGTGTGCAGCACAAGGGCCTGTGACTTGTCCTGATGCAGCCTGCAGGGTGTGTGGTCCCCAGTTACTTGGAAGTTGAACAGCCCTAACATTTGAAACTGAGGGTCGTAACTCCTCATAACAATGGGCAGAGGAAGCAGTGGGACCCTAGCAAAACCTATAGACACACTGTTGTACCAGACACAGTTATTTATAATAGCGCTGCCTGGAGAAGGTGACCTGCAAGAGACAGAAGTGCTTTCTGCACCCCGCTTCAGGAGGAGGGCTGGAGAACCAGCCATGGAGCTATGGGCTAACCTTTTTATAGAATCACAGAAAGTTATGTTTGGCAGGGACCTCAGGAGGTCATCTAGTCCAACCCCCTGCTCAAAGCCGGAGCAGCCCCAACTAGATCATCCCAGCCAAAGCTTTGTCTAGCCAGGTCTTGAAAACCTCCAAGGATGGAGATCCCATCACCATTCAGGGTAACCTGTTCCAGTGCTTTACTACCCTCCTAGTGAGAAAATTCTTCTTAATATCTAACCTAACTTCCCTTGCTGCAACTTGAGACCATTGCTCCTTGGTCTTTTATGCTACCCTGGCACATTCCTCCCTTTCTAGATCATATCTGTTACAGTCACAGGTGCTTCCCTTCCCTGCCCAGCTCTGCCACCTTAACAGATGCCAAGGGGACTTACTGATTTTTGTGCATCTACGGGCAGTAAGCAGTCTCAGTGAGCAGTTCAGGAAAGCTGTGCTAAAGCAGCAATGAAACAGCTGCTGTTATGGCGAGACTTTATGTGACTGAGAGGAAGGAGTGAGCCATCAGTAGGATGCATGTATACTAGTCTTGCTTGGTAAAGATTTAATTTGGGGAGGAGGCTCAAAAGTGGAATAACTCAGTGCAGTAGCAAGACGCAGAATTCCCAAGGAATGTTTTTATTCACCACAGATAATTTCAGGCTAGGTGCAAAGAGGACACAGCACAGAAAAAGGGTGACAAATTGCAGCGGCAGATTGGTCTGAACCCAGTTGTATTGTGACCATTGAGAAACTTAGCTAAAGGGGTCTGAATTGATGCTGCAGCCATTTTCTCTTGAGCCCCAGTTTATTTGCTGACAGTCTTCCTTTAGCACCATCTCACATTCCAGAAAGATTCATAAAAATTAAGGGCTTGAAGGGACATCAAAAGAGCATCAAGTCCAACCTCCCCTGCTCTGGGCAGGAATACTGCTGAGATTGGAGGAGAATGAGGGCAAAGGGATCTCCCATGGGGGAGCTCCATTTTTGCCCCTTCTCAGAACCCATAAATGCATCCAAGGGTAGGTTTAGTTTGCTCTCTTTTTATGAGCATAGGGTTGCTGTGAATCCCTTCACCACAGAGGGTCCAGTTTGTTCCCAGCCTGCCCTGGGGAAGACCGTCTTGCTGCAGTAGCCACTGAAATAAAAATACAGAGTTGAAAAACCAAAAGCCATAACACATCTGGCTTTCACAGAACAATCAACTTGATAAAATCAACTCAATCCCACTTCAGTCCTGAATACAAATTCCCTCTTCCAAGGCAATTTCTTCTTGGACTAGTGATGGCAAGGACAGTACTGAAACAAAAGGCATGAGGGAAGGGAAAGGCTGCTGGCTAATGAGGCTTGAGGGTTAAAAATGATCCCGATTGAAAGATGGCATAGGTAAAACCATAAATAAAAGTGCATCAATTTAAGTAACAGGGCAATTTAAGCCAATATAGTGCCACTTCATATCAACACTCTCTTAACTTGGATTTAAAACCTGAATTACAGTAGTTTAGTTTAGCCCTGTTCTAGATATAGCCAGCTTTAAGAAATCAGCCCTCATTGCCACAGATAACAGTAGAAAGCTGCATACCTGCTGCTGTCAGTGCCCTTGTTTCTTAGTGTCTAGTTGTGCCCCATCCATGTGCCCGTCTCCTTCAGATCTGGGGTTCCTGGAAAGCAATTTTGAGAAGCTGGCAACAGAACCAGCTCCTCTCAGTTCAGCTCTTCATCCTTGTAGTCCAGCTGGTTTGCAGACCTGCAGTACTTCTTAGAATCCTTTTTTTCTTCAACAATTCACTGCAGGATGTCTCTGTGCCCCTTAGCAGCCAGCCACAGAATGGAAAGACAAGTCCCAAGAATTTTTTCCAATCCACAGCAGGGGCACTTTTCCTGCCCCCACGAGCTTTGCCAAGCTAGATCTTCCCTCCCTTCATCTCCTCATGACATTGTTTTATGCTCAAAGCAACATCCATCTTCAACAACTGCTCAGCCACCAACGAGACAAGTGACTTCCCTCGAATGGGGAAACAATCCATAAGGTCTTAGACCAGTTGGCAGAAGCCTTGTGTAGTGGTTTCCTCTCAGGCAACAGAATCACCTGGGCCACAGAAACAGATGTTGCTCACTACAGAAATACGGAGGCTCCACACCAAAGGGTGTTCTCAGTGCTGTTTGTGTGGGCAAGTGAATTCTAGCAACCAGAGCTTTATGCAACAGGAATCTGCCCAGCTAGGCACTGGCTGCAAGGACTGTCACCAGGAGGCGCATTTCATCACTTGGACTAAAGCCACAAGTGATATCCACTTACACAACACTGTCACGGCAGACTCCGGTGCTGTGGAGGACCAAAGTTAATTCTAAGTGTAATTCAAAAGGCAGCGATCTCTGTGCACTGTGTATGAATGAGATGTGTTGTACAGGTGACAGGGAACAACAGGACTGTGGCCAGTTCTGGGCAGGGAAGTTCTGGCAGAATCCAGAGGAGAGCAGCAAAAGTTATTAGAAGTCTAGAACATGAGGCATGGCAAGAAGAATAGGGATTATTTAAATCCAGAGATGACAGAGGGGTCTGACAGTAGTCTTCAAATTCCAAGAGAAAAGGCTGTTGGAAAGAGGATGTCACACAAATGTACTATGTCCACACATGGGACAGTGTAAACTGTTACAGGAGGGATTTTAGGAAGAACTTTCTAACTCTGAAGGAGGTCAGTCACTGGAGCAGACTTGCTAGGGAGCTTGTTTCTAAGTGCAGGTCAAACAGACATTTGTTCGGGGTCATTTACACAGGAACAGTCCTGCCTCAAGCAGCAACGTGCACTAGATACAGCTTCAGGAGGTCCCATCCAGCTCTATTTTCTATTATTTATCTAAAAAATTCTCTGATCCACAATGAAACCATGGAGTGAGGAAGGCAACGTAATACCAGAGAAAACAGACACACTGCGTGAGAAGCCACCCAGAGTCCAAGGGTAGTAAGGTTTATATTTCTAAAGAAAAGTGAGGGTACCTATCTTCACCACTTGCAAGGGCCATGATGCCCTTTTCCCTCCCTTAGTTACCTCAAGTCATGGAGGTCAGGTCTGATACATCCAGCGCCAGTCTGACTCACTGTCACTGGACCCTTCAGTCTCAAATCCCTGCCCGTTTCCCCTTCTGGAGACTCACATGCTCCTTCCACTGGGCTCCCAAACAGTGCCAAGAGGTTCTGCCTTTCTCCCAGCCACACAGAAGACAAAGTCTGACATCAAGCACCCTCTCCCCTTTGCAACTACCGCTTCCCCACCACCACTTTCTCATTCAACTAATATGATAAGCCTGAGCTACATACCATGCTACACGGAGGCTGGGAGGTATGGAAAGCAAGAACTCACGTGTTTGAAGCAGCTGACAGGGGCGGCCTTGTATCCATGGTCCTGCAGGTACTTTCCCCAGTCAAAGCCAAGCACAAGAGCTGCAAGATAACATCATGGTCAGCTGGTTCTCAAGAAAGTCCTATACAACCATTTACTTTCTGGCAGCAGTTGGGAACTACAGGGTGGGCCAGTAGGGGAGAGGCCACCACTCTATCCTGACAAACAAGCGATCTGGGGCTTATCCCATTTGCTGGCTGGCAGGGAAAAGCCAGAAGCCCCAAGTCCAAGTTAAAACCCGACATGAAAGATGATGACAATCCTGTGGGAGGAGGGAGGACAAAGGCGGTGACAGCCAGGACAGACAGGAGCTAAGCTAATGATGTGCTCATGCTCCCAACAACTGCAGAGGAAGGGGCAGTAATGGACGCTGGGTCCTTCCCGCTCAGGTTTTTCCATGCTGCAATCGACCTGACCCAGACATATGTGCACTCCTTCCCCTCCCCAATCCCAATACGTATTGGTAGCAAGGGTGTGCACCAAGCTCTGCGCTGCTTGCTACTGCCTGCGCCAGCCAGTCTAATGTACCGCTGTCTCCTCCATGCCCATCTACACTTACCATCCTGGCCCGTCAGCGTTCCATCCGCCAGCTGCCCCGTCCCTTGGGAATGGAGGAAGGCCCCAATCTTGGCGGACCATGCTGCCTTGTGCAAGACCTTAGCCTTCTTTGTAGGTGGCTTGCCCTGCAAGAGTGTAAGAGGGAGCGGATGTTGGGACTGAGAGGAATGGGGGAAACCTGTCCTAGCAGGCGAGGGGCAGACTTACCTTTGTATCTCTGGGAGGAGGATCTTTCTTACGCTCATGGACCATAAGAAGCTGGAAACCCAATGGACACAGCGTCACTCCATCCCCCACCCCATTTCTTTCCAACCCATACAGACACCTGGACCATTTGCACAGGAAGCAAAACAGGCACCAACAGGCCTCAGGCAAGCATTATCTTGCAGTGCAATGCTGTGGCTAGTAAAGCAACCAAAACGCTGGCTTGCATCCATAGATGCTTCTCAAGCAAATCCCGGGACGTCATTCTCCCCCTGTACTCGGCCTTAGTGAGGCCGCAGCTGGAGTACTGTGTCCAGTTTTGGGCTCCACAATTCAAAAAGGATGTGGAGAAGCTTGAGAGAGTCCAGAGAAGAGCCACGCGCATGATCAGAGGTCAGGGAAGCAGACCCTACGATGACAGGCTGAGAGCCCTGGGGCTCTTTAGCCTGGAAAAGCGCAGGCTCAGGGGTGATCTGATGGCCACCTACAAGTTTATCAGGGGTGACCACCAGCATCTGGGGGAACGTTTGTTCACCAGAGCGCCCCAAGGGATGACGACTAGGTCGAATGGTCATAAACTACAAGACCGTTTCAGGCTGGACATATGGAAGAATTTCTTTACTGTCCGAGCCCCCAAGGTCTGGAACCGCCTGCCACCGGAGGTGGTTCAAGCGCCTACATTGAACACCTTCAACAGCAAACTGGATGCTTATCTTGCTGGGATCCTATGACCCCAGCTGACTTCCTGCCCTTTGGGCAGGGGGCTGGACTCGATGATCTTCCGAGGTCCCTTCCAGCCCTAATGTCTATGAAATCTATGAAATCTAGTCTAGCGGTGGGCAAAATATAGCCTGCAGGCTTGATAGGGAGGTGAGGCAGACTGCACCTGCACTGCATTGCCCGGGTGAGCTCTGCTGCACGTGCCCCCTGCCCCT